AATATTATGTCAACTTTGAAAACACACACATACACACACACACACACACACACACACACACACACACACACACACACACACACACACACACACACTAACACACCCATTTACTCTAACACTCTGGGGAGTAAGGACAGGTGGTGGTCTGATTAAGGTTGACGTTATCTATATCTATTTAGTTGCTTCTTTTATTTTTAGTTTTTAGTAAGAGTTTTACGGCACAGCGCAAAAAGGTCATGTAAGTGTAACAAAAGAGTAACAAGCACAGAGAAGAAGGAGAGACGGCTGATAGATGTTTGATAAGAATGAAGGAGCAAACCACACCAAAGCACCCGCCATCCACAAAGTTGCTTCTGTCTGTTGTTGGCTGGTGCTCTGGTGTGTTTTGCTCCTTCTTTCCTGTCAAACATCTTTCGTCCGGATCTTTTCTCCTTCTTTTTTAAGTTTGTTACTCTCTTGTAGCACCTCTAATCTTCGGCACTTATATGACCTTATTGTGTCGCAAGTGCTGTAAAACTCTTACTAAAACTAAACTAAAAATCGATTCTGAGTGTTGTCTGTTAGTTTACAGGACGTGAGAAAGCATATCAGGCTTCTACTTCTACTCAAGCCAGATGGGAGAAAATCACGCTCGTAACTACAATAACAGTCTTTTGATGTGCACAAGGACAGGAAGAAAACCGAAAGGGGAGGGGAACGCGGAGTAGTTTATAGTGCTGGTGAAATTGAGAGACGCTTGGCTGTATTGTGTCATGTTACGGGGACCTGAATTGACCACTGTCTTGTGTCAAAGCGACACGACAAGGGAGTGGACATCGTCGTTCTCTGGTCACTGGTCATTGGTCATTCAGCCAGGCACACCTGGAAGCCAGACCCGGGCCATTTGTGCGTGAAGATTACTGAAGAAGAATTACCTGTTTATAGCTGCTCCACTCTCAAGGTCAGAATTTCCAACTCAGTCAGTGATCTCAATTTGTAAGTAATATATGCACACGCACACACACACATATACACACACACACACATACACACGCGCGCGCGCGCGCGCGCACACGCGCGCACACACACACAAACACACACTCACACACAAACATACACACTACACAAACAAAACAAAAAATAACATAAACAAAACACACAACCATACACAAACAAACACACACACACACACACATACACACACACTCACTCACACA